GGGGGGGCTGATGCTGGGGTCGTGGGGACTAACCTGAGTCCACATGGAGCTTCGGAGCAGGTGATCCCCGAGGCTCAAACTCAGCCCAATCCCTGCTCAGCCGGGAGAGACCCCCTCGGTGATGGCCAGAGCTGCGGCTGCAGATGAGGAGGTTTGGAGTTTTGTAGCTCTGCAGCAAATCTTTAGGTGCCCGGTTTGCACTGAGCAGCCGTCCTCCATAGCGTGAACCAAACCCCGTTCCCCAGAGCCATGCCTGCCTGAACAAGACTTGCTCTTTGGAAACATCTGGTTTTGATGTGAAAATATCCTGTGCTGGCTATTCCCCTACTCCAGCTCTCCAGTGTCTCCCTGTTTTCTTGGTGAAAATACACTTTATTTCATGTCTGGATTTACTTGGCTTTGGTATCATGCTGTTAGATCTTACAACGTCTTTGCTTGCTCGAAGGAAGGGCTCTCTGTTCTGGCATTTTTTCCCCAGATAGATCCGAGCAGGTCATAATAAATCCCGACTCCTTTCTGATAAGGAAGATGGAATTTCCCAGCTGTACATCAGTCCGGCAGCTGCTTCGTTACGCATGTCCATCACTACCCTTCCACTCAGATGCCAAGCTGGGTTCGGTCACTGGTGCTTCTCTCCTTACTCTTGTGTTTGGTCAGGGACAAAAAAACCCTTCTTTGGAGTTTCCTGGCAGCGTTTCTTCAGTGCTGCTTGATTTTGCTCCCCGTGGCTCTGTGCTTTGAAATCTGCGGTGGGATTTTGGGGTTTCCACAGCGGCTGGCTGCTCCCAGGTGTCCTTGCCGCTGCGCCGAGCGTGCAATGCCCAGCAGGGACAGCACTGCTTTTGTGGGCACAAAACTTCCTGCCTACGTGTAGTCACTGCACTCGTACCCTGTGCTGGGTTTGGCCTTCGAGAGCTGCTTGGTGTTTCCCTGGTGTGTCCACAGACAGTGCCCGCGTTTTGCGTGGGCAAATCCCCTTTGTGCATCTCTCCCATCTCTCCAGCTCCCGCTCGCAGCTTCGCTGCAGTAGGAGCATCCTTTTAACTTTGAACTTGCAAGGTTTTACCCCAAAAGGAGTTTTCTTTTCCTTTGTCCCCTTCACTAATTTATTTAGATTTAAGTTGCCGTAGAAGTCCTGTGCAAAAAGCTGCTTGTGTCCCCATCACAAGCAACACCCTCCTGGCAACAAAAAATAATAATCGTATAAGCAGTTGAACCATGCAGAGCAAGGTTGGCATCAACATCCCCGCTGCCCTCTCTGGAAAATACTTTGGCTCGGCCCCAGATGCCCTGCTCATTAAATGGCTTTTTTGGGAGAAGATGTGTCCTCCTGGGAGCCGGGCTCAGCTGCCGTGATGCTGATGTGGATGCGCGAGAGGGGGATTGGTCTGAGGAGGACTGGCTGCTATCTTGCTGGGTTTTTGGCTCCTTAAGTAATTAACTAGTAGCAATAGTAGAGCCTGGTTTGTGGCGGGGTTTGGGGTGTGTTGGGGTGCAGGAGCCTGTCTGTGGGCACTGCCTGGGCCCATGGATCCATGCGCTGGGGCAGCCCCTGCCCTGTCCTGCAAACCTGCAGGTACCATTTGAGTGAATGGTTGTTACTGCTTAGCTGGCAGTCCTCAGGGTAATTAGCATGTCCTGAAATGAGCCTAATTAGTCTCAGCTGCAGAGCTGGTTAATTTGATGGAAACCAATCCAGCCTCATGTGATGGTGGTGCTCCCACTGACCCCTGTGGGTGCCGGATCGGGGCAAACCCCTCAACTGTAATGAGTAGGATGCAATTCCCTTTCCTGCAGCGCAGCTGGAGCCCAACGGGGTGGGGGGGAAAGTCTCCCCCACCTCTCTGGCAAACAGGGCTTTACCTTAGGCTACAGCAGCTGTTTGGCATCCCGTGTGGAGTCAATAAAATAAAGGTCTGGCGCATGCTGGCATGTGCTGTGGGCTGGGCAGCAATGGTGTAGTCGGAGGGGTTAAAATTCTCCCGAAAAATTGCATAGGGAAAGCTCCTTCTGCTTTTCACACTGTCCCATCCCTCCTGGCTCCTGTGGTTGCCTTTCTTCTCCCATCACCGGTGCTGTACTGGCTCAGCAGGGTTGTTAGCCAAGGCGGAGAGCACCGGCTGCTGCGTCTCTGTCATGTCCCGGCTCAGCCCCACGTTGTCCCCGCAGGTGATCAAGCAGCTGATGAGGAAGGAATGTACCCTGGAGTTCTCCCGCGACCGCAAGTCCATGTCGGTGTACTGCACGCCCACCAGCCCTGGCCACAACTCCGCCGGCAGCAAGATGTTTGTCAAGGTAGGGGAGAAAGTCCTCAGCACCCTGCAGGATCCTCCTTCCCCATGCACACCCCAGCAGGATTTGGCCCTTACTGCAGCGGGCAGCGATGCTTTGCAGTTTGTCTCCTCCCTTAGCTGTCCAGGGGTCCAGGAGCCAGCAGGTAGACTGGTGTGGTCAGGGAGGAGGCGAGTCTTTGCAGTATTGACAAGAAAAAAAGGAGGTAAAATGATTTAGAGGGAGGAAAAGGCACTGAGTGTGCTGGTGCTGGGGCCAGGGGAGAGCTGCCCCTGTGCAAAACTTGGGCACTTGCTTTTATTAAAGGCTTGGACCCTCCGGACACCAGTAATGCCCAAAGGGCGTTGTACGGCTTTCCGCTGTAACCAGAAAGAAAATAGTGTTTTAAAGGGCATTTTCTTCCCAAGAGAAGATGCGGAATTTCCCCCCCGCTGACTCCAAGAAGATTTGTATATTGTTGTTCCCGCCGGGAGATCTTATTGGGTGGGTGAACTGTCTTCCAGGTCAGGTTGGGACCCTCTGGAGCCACCGCATCTGTGGCCCTGCCAGTCCTGGGCAAGCTTATTTAAGAGGAGCAATAGAAGGATTGCAAGTTTTATATTAGAGAGCAATGTCAAGGGTCCTTTGTAAGGTCAGAAGGGACGGGGTGAGATGCTGTGATGCTAAAGGACATGTTTTCCTGAATCGCAAAGGCATCGCAAGCATCTGCTGAGCATCCCGCAGGCAGCGCGTTTTTTCAGCAGAGGCTTAAAGGCCCTAATCCCCTCCAGGTCTGAGGGGGGATCCGTGGGGCGGGAGTATCCCGCGCAGATGTGTAGGTTTTGCACGAGTCAGACGGATCCCCGACGGAGCAGATCCTGCCGTCTGGTGACCTGACGCGGGTTCGTCCTTCCGGGCCACGGTCCCTGTGCGCTCGGTCGGAGGCTGCCATCTAGTGCGCTGAGCTGCTGTGCCAGGATGTGTGTGCTGGAGTTTTGGGGAGATTGCCTTCTCCTTTGCCCAAACTGGGTGCCTTCCCTCCCTCCGGCACTTCCTTTGGTGCTGGCAAGAGATGCTCATCCTCCAGGTTCATTCCAGCCCCTAAGCCCTCCGCTCCTCCCCAGGGCGCCCCGGAAAGTGTGATTGAGCGCTGCACCCACATCCGTGTGGGCACTGCCAGGGTCCCGCTGACGGCCCCGGTGCGAGAGAAGATCCTGGCCAGGATCCGGGACTGGGGCATGGGCATTGACACGCTGCGCTGCCTGGCCCTGGCCACCCACGATGCGCCTGTCCGCAGGGAGACCATGCAGCTGCATGACTCTGCCACCTTCATCCACTACGAGGTACGGCACCGGGGGCTTGCTCCAGGAGCTTTTTTTCTTTATTCCTGAAGTTTTCCCACCCACTTCCAGCTGTTCCAGCAGTATTTTCTCTCTGGTTTCTCCATGGGCACCAGGCAGTGCAATGGCTCAATTCCTCCTCTGCAAACCCTGGGGCAGAGCTGCATGCAGCAGGGCCGGTCGTGAGGCCAACAGCCCAGTCCCACTGGGCATCCATCCCCGTGGCATGACCGCTGAGAGGGGCCTGGGGACTACCAAGAGGGACGGGGAGGAGGGGAGCAAAGCAAAAAGATGTGAGGAGCAGCAGAGGGGACGGGAGCATCCCATTGCATGGGGGCTAGAGGGTGCATCCATGGGGCTGTTGGTAGGAAACCTCCTGAAAGTTTCCTCCCAGGGGAAATCCCTGTGCCCAGCGTGGTTTCACAGCGGGGAGGGAAGCGGCTGCATCCGCAGGGGTTAATGTGGGTCCGGGGCTGTCCCCTCCCCAGAACAACCTGACCTTCGTGGGCTGCGTGGGGATGCTGGACCCTCCCCGCAAGGAGGTCACCTCCTCCATTGAGATGTGCCGCAAGGCCGGCATCCGCGTCATCATGATCACTGGCGACAACAAGGGCACGGCGGTGGCCATCTGCCGCAGGATCGGCATCTTCTCGGAGAGCGAGGACGTGGCTGGCAAAGCCTACACGGGCCGGGAGTTTGACGAGCTGCCCCCCGAGGAGCAGCGGCAGGCGTGCCGTGATGCACGATGCTTCGCCCGCGTGGAGCCGGCACACAAGTCCCGCATCGTCGAGTACCTCCAGTCATTCCATGAGATCACTGCCATGGTGAGTCCCCCAGGGACACCCCACCACCCCCCTGGTCCCCTCCTCTCCGCCTGACCCCATCTCTTGCACCCCGCTAATTACGGCTTCGTGCAGACGGGCGACGGTGTCAACGACGCCCCAGCCCTGAAGAAAGCAGAGATCGGCATCGCCATGGGGTCGGGCACAGCTGTCGCCAAGTCGGCCGCTGAGATGGTGCTCTCCGATGACAACTTCTCCACCATTGTGTCAGCCGTTGAAGAGGGCAGGGCCATTTACAACAACATGAAGCAGTTCATCCGCTATCTCATCTCCTCCAACGTCGGGGAGGTCGTTTGGTGAGAGCCCCCCACACTGGGCACCACGTTGAGGGGAGCGGTGGTGGGGATGCGTCCCCTGGGGCAGGTGACCTGGTCGTGTTCCCTGCCCCTGGCAGCATGTGGTGCCCAAAATTGTAACCCTGGGTACCAAACCGAGCAGCTCTGCGTTGTCCCCCAGGGATAGGGGGATGTTCCGTTTGCGGTTTTATAAACACACCACCCCCCAGGAGCTGTTTTGTTAATGCATTGCCTATTTAAGCCCATGCCAGCGTCTAAGACGGGTGTGGATATCTGTGGACAGGCTGTTGTCACCAGGTCACACTGATGCACTTTGCATCAGGTCCCGGGCAGCTCTCCCTGTCCCCTGCCCGTCCCTCCCAGTAACTCAGTGCTGTCCTCAGCCACGTGGGTGCAGCCTTGGGATCACTTGGGCATCCTTTGCCCTTGCATTTCAGCAGGGGTATTTGTGCTGGGAACGGGAACCTGTGTGGCCGTCAGTGGTTGGGTTTCGACTGCAAAGCAAATTTTAATAGCTACAGGAACAAATTTTAGCTGCAAAATTCAGTCTTGGACTTCAGGCTCCTGACTCAGGGGTTGCAGGTTCATCTGCAGGACTTTGGGTGACTATTCAGTTTGGGGTATTTGGATCCAGGGTTCCTGCTCGCTCTCCCCTTGCACAACACGGACACTTTCTCTGGCTGCCCTGGAGCTCATCTAATTTGGCATCTGTTTTTTTCCCTGCAGCATCTTCCTGACGGCCATCCTGGGCTTGCCCGAGGCCCTCATCCCCGTGCAGCTGCTGTGGGTGAACCTGGTGACAGATGGGCTGCCGGCCACTGCGCTGGGCTTCAACCCCCCCGACCTGGACATTATGGACAAGCTGCCCCGCAACCCCAAGGAGCCCCTCATCAGCGGCTGGCTCTTCTTCCGCTACCTGGCCATCGGAGGTGAGCCCCCACGGGCACCGGTGGGTAGAGGATGAGGACAGGCACGGGGTACCATGGGGTAGGGGCCTCCTTGCCAGGTGCTGGGGGTAAGGGTGTCTCTCTCGGCCACAGTGTACGTGGGCCTGGCCACAGTGGGCGCAGCGACCTGGTGGTTCTTGTACGACGCCGAGGGACCGCAGGTCTCCTTCCATCAGCTGGTGAGTCAGGAGGGGAACGGGCCGACGTGTTGAGCAGATGGGTGAGGGCATGGATTCAAGCGTTGGGGTCTTTCCTCTACCTTTCTTCTGTGGTGGTTTGTAGTGTTCCCAAATTCCTGGTGGAGAAGACAATAATTTAAAATAAAAGCAAATTCTCTCCCTCAGGCTCATGTTTCCAGCCTTGCTTCTGCCAGTGACCAGCATGGTGGGAAACTTGATTCAAAGAAGCTGAAAGTAGCTCCTGCACCTGATCCCACATTGAAAGGGATTGATTTTTACACTACTGTAGGTCTGAACAAGGTGGTGGGAAAGTGGTTGCCATTGCGCCCCAATGTCACGTGCGATGGAAGATGTATTTTTGATGGAGATGCGTGTGTGCTCAAACACCTCACTAACTACATGTGAAAATCTTGTAAGCCGCTATCCAGCCATAACCCCAAAGCCCCAACCACAGCAGAAGCTGGGTCGCTTTAGACAGTTTTATCAGTTACTCTGAACTGTGGGATATTTAACAGCACCCCTAATAATCAGGATTCACCATGTGCCCCCCCAACCAGTCGACCTCTTCCTCCTCTTGCCTGCCTTTCCTACGCTGCTGCTCTGCCATGTATTTACCAGTGGTTTCCTGTGCCAACAGAGGAACTTCATGAGGTGCACCAAGGACAACCCCATCTTTGAAGGAATCGACTGTGAGATCTTTGAGTCCCGATACCCGACCACAATGGCTCTGTCTGTGCTGGTGACAATCGAAATGTGCAACGCTCTGAACAGGTAGGGTGGCCGCAGGATTGCTCTGTATGCTCTACGCGTAACTGATTTTGGGTAGGATCTCTTTGAGCGTCCGTTGGTGGGCTGAGGGCTTTGCTTTGACTCAGCAGAGCCATTCGGAGTGTTCTCACAGAGGACCGCTGGGCTCACTTTAAATAAACTCCTCCAAGCCAGCGTGCCGCTGTCAGTAGTGGTGGAGGAAGCACTGGATCTGCATCCGTTAGCAGTTTGGCCCTGTTAATGACCTGTCCTAATCCATGCATGGCTGGTTGCGTTGAGATGGGTGTCCAGATCCAAATTGCGGCAGAGCCTGAAGCTGAACAGTCTGAAAGAGAGGGGCTATAGCCTTGGAGAGGAGTGGGAACCCCCAGCTTGGGCAGGCGCAGGGAGCAGGAGGTTATTGGGGCTAATGCTGTCCCCTCGTTTTCGCAGTGTCTCTGAGAACCAGTCGCTGCTGCGGATGCCACCATGGCTCAACATCTGGCTGCTGGGGGCCATCGTCATGTCCATGGCTCTGCACTTCCTCATCCTCTACGTCAAGCCTATGCCTGTGAGTGCCCTGTGCCACCTCCGCGTGCAGCCCAGGGGGCTCCTCCTGTGGGCGAGGACATCCCTGGAGCTTCTGGGACGGTTGTCCCCAGCGTGTGCCCTCAGGACCAGGTCCTGTGACTCAAACAAACATGGGGACCAGGAGACACCCTGCCCCAATGAGCCTTTACTAAAGTCAGAAGCTCTCCTTATAGGCAATGCAAAGGGCTATGGATATCTCAGCTCCTTTTGGAGGCATCGCCTCCCTTTGCAGTCCAAGGCTGGTGATGCCTTGGTTGATGCCTAAGGGCGCTTAAGATGAAGCGGGTCGCTGTGCCCAGGAGGTTACATTGTCCGTTGTCCCCCGCTAAGCGCCTGTGAGCACATACAGTTCTAGCTTGTGCCTCGCTTTCCTCAACTGCAGGTGAGATGAAGGACATCATTGTTTTTGACTGATCTTGGCCAAGAGCCACCTTGGGATCATGACAGACCTTGAAGAAATCCTGTTCTTCGGGCTGTCTGGATCCTCCCTCCTTGTACCTGGGATGACCCTTTCTCAACCTGTGCCATACAACAACCTGACCTTTAAAACAAACAAAAAAAATCCCACCTCCTTCCCTATTGACTTGTCCAATCCTTTCCGCCTTGCAGCTCATCTTCCAGGTAACCCCCCTGAGCTGGCCGCAGTGGGTGGTTGTAATGAAAATCTCCCTGCCCGTTATCTTGCTGGACGAAGGACTCAAGTACCTTTCCCGCAACCACCTGGACGGTGAGCATGGTCTGCACCACACTGGGTTATGTTTGCTCCATGGCGCTTTGCTTGGGGTTCATGGTGGCTCACCTCCTCCACTCACGTGGTGTCTGCATCTGCATGTTCATCCGCCTTTGCTGTGAAAAAGGGACTTTTTCTCCTGCCCCCTTCCTTGCCGGGTGCCACGCCAGGCGGGGCAGTGGGTACTTGCATCTGCTTGAAATACTCCCTTAGGAGCTGGAGCACTAGATAAATCTGCCGCGTGTGTTTATCCAGCTCCTCTCGAACCTCTGGGAACTGGATCCCTTCTCTTATGAAGCAAAACAAATCAAGCACTGGTTTCTAACAGGAATCCTTTTTGTTTTTTCCTCGATTTTCCACCCCTCTGTGGCCATCCTTATCTTGAATTTGCTACCTCTATTTTAAGAGCAAATGAGAGCTGAATGTGTTATAAACTGGTTTTAATGGGGTTGTCCTTGGCCGGCACCTCTCAGGATCCATCCTGGATCCCTTCTCTTATGAAGCAAAACAAATCAAGCACTGGTTTCTAACAGGAATCCTTTGGTTTTTTCCCTCGATTTTCCACCCCTCTGTGGCCATCCTTATCTTGAATTTGCTACCTCTATTTTAAGATCAAATGAGAGCTGAATGTGTTATAAACTGGTTTTAATGGGGTTGTCCTTGGCCGGCACCTCTCAGGATCCATCCTGTGGCACACGCGGAGGAGAAGCAGCTCCTGTGGCACCTGGGCAGCAGTTCCCGTGTGCTCCTGGGCTACGTGCTGTAAATCACAGCATGTGTTTAGGCGGCCCTCCAAAGAGATGATATAATCTTTTCTTTTGTTTCTTGCAAAAGGTGTTGCTGTGGGTGATATCTCGGCGCTCAGTTAAACCTGCAGGTTTTTTGGCAGCGGCTGCCGGGGCGGGGCAGCGGTGCCGTGCCTGCCAAGGGGCTGGCCCCTCTCCAGGGAAACAGATTTAATTTGTTTTTTAGGGTGTGTTTGCCCCGACAGTGATAGCAGGGAGAAGAAGGGCAGGAGAGACACCGTCCTTGCCTGGGGAAGATGTAGTGGCCCTGGGGGGCAGATGAGCAACCTGAGTGCGGGGACTGGATGTCCTTCCACAGCATCACCTTGCTCAGACTTCTTTTCTCCCCTTAAGCAGCCGGCGTCCTAGCAAACCCCTTCCTTTTGCCTTCACCCTTTAATAATGACCCAAGAAAACTGTGCGAAGCCACTCTTGCATTTCAGGGCTGAAGGCAGGTCCGTCCAGCCCTGGCAGGGAGGGATTTGGGGCATCGTTACAGCCCTGTTTGGTTTCTCATGGAGCAGAACCATGCAAAAAGCTGGAAATAGGGGATGGGAAATTATTGCAAGCAGGAAACAATCACAAACTGGTTGCGCTCCCCGTAGCTGGCTCCCGGCGCACTGGAGGTGCTCACGTCAGTTTTCCTTTCTGCAGCGAGCTGATGCATAACCACCGCGATTGCTCAGCGAAGCCTCCGCTGAGAAATGGATGTGCAGGGGCTCCTATTTTTACAGACCAGATAGAAATTGTTTCTAGCTTATTTTTATTTAACTGTTGCGTCTCTCAACAGACTGATAGGCGCTTTGCATCACCCAGGCTTGTTTTATCATACCATTACAAGCCTGTAGCAACGATTTTATGGCACAGCACTGGACTGGGGCGTAGGAGGGCTCGTTTAATTCCTGGCTGTTACATCCCATGCATGCCCTCGGTCTTCACTTCACCATCTGTGATCTGGGGATGAGTCTTTCTTTCTCCCACACTTTGCATTTCTCTGTAAAAACTCAGTGCTGCTGGAGGAAGGGCTTTTCTTCAACTGTGCCAGTGCAGGTCTGAGCACAGCGGGGTTTCTGGCAGGCGTACGATCCTTTCGAGTCCCATCATACCAGCTCAGAGTGTTTCCTCCTCCCATGCCGTGCTCCCGACATGCCAGCTCCTCTGAGCTGCCCTCATCCCCATGGTCACGGTGCTGCTGATGCTTACGGGTCGCTCTGTGTCTCATCCAGCAAGGGTTTCCCATGCAGCTATTCAATCACGGCTATGGGGCAAAATCACGCTTAAATCATCACATTTGAAAGAAATAATTGAAATCCTGCATCTTCCTAATTCTTCTGGGCTTTGAAAAGGAAACAAAAAAACCTCAAAAAGCCACTTTTAAATGTGGTCTTGTGATTTTTTTTTTTTTTTTTTTTACCAGGCATTCTCAGGACGGTAGGACACATGTGGAGCGGGGAGCACCAGTTGAAAACCTGCAGGACTCCAGAGCAAGGGTTGGCTTTCTTAGGTGTCTCATCCCCGAATGCCGTATTCCTGTGCTTCCTCCAAAGTCTTGCTTGTGTGTGGGGGGGACCTGCTTGGACCATGTCCGGGTGAACGTGGCTTGGAAAATCAGCCGATAATGGAGCCCAGGGACCCTGTACCCAGACAGGGTCTCCTTTCCCACACTGGCCTCTGTATTTTGCTTCAAAATAAGGTCTAAAAAGCCTGTGAAGCAGCCGTTTGCATGGCAGTCTTGGCCAGGGGGGGCCAGGCTACCGCTTGACCTCTGCAAGGAAATGCTTGGGGATGGTCTCCAGCGTGGGACCTTCTGAAGCCTAAATCTGAGGGATGGCCAAGGGTATTCAGTTGAGGGATGCAAATGTCTAGCTGTGAGTTCTGCTGATTCAGGTTTTGCATGGAAAATTTTCTGCTTTGATCAGCTTTAGATAAGTAAGTCGTGTTTCCATTACACTGGGTTTTCCTTGTCCTTGAAGCGGCAGAAAGCTGAGACTCTTCAGTTTTCACCATGGTCTGTGTTTTACATTTCTCTCCCCATCACCCCGGTCACTTCCAGCCTCTCGTCTTGCATGCTTTGCATGTATCGCTGCCTTCATCCATCTCTGGCCCCTCTGAGGTTTCTGCGCTCTCAGTTTTGGGAGGCAATGTTGAGTGTGAGACAGCAAGCGAAAGTGCACAGCCGAGTTAGGCTGGCTTGGTGCGACCTGCAGATGTTCTGGTCAGGAACGTGGAGATGTTCTCCAGAGCTCTTTCAGGTGTCCGTCACACAGATACAGGCTGGCAGGCTCACAAGGGCTGACCACCCTCAAGGACCTCTTGCCCTAGTATTTTTAATATTTGCCGTCCTCTGTGCATTTAAGTGTATTGCTTTCTGAGCCCAGTGGCATGCAGGAGGAAGGTTTCCAGGCATCTGTGCCAAGGCCTTGCAGAAGTCTCTTTTCTGAGTGGTTCTCAAAAGGTACAAAATCCAGACAGGACACTGAGGTAACCCCGGTGCTCGTGCCCCTCCGTGCGCCGTCAGCCTGCTGCCACGGCCACACCGCTCCCCTCCTGCCTTCCTGCACCATCCCTTTTCTCCTCATCTTCACCATCTCGAAGCAAACCCATCGCAGGTGTCGGTGTTGCCACTGTGGTGGTTTCACTTGTTTTCAGCACGTTAAGCAGCAGGCCCTGCCTGGGTGCTGTTTCTCCCCTGTGCCGTCGTAAAAGCAGGGGCAAGTCAAGAAGCGTGTGCTTTCTGCAACACAGCTACACAACTGCCCCGACAGCAGCAGCGCCACTGCAGATCGGTAGTTTTGATGCACAAGAATTGTCTTGGCGTGTTTTGTCGCAGATTAGCATTTATGCAGCCGTTTGTCCTTACACCTGGGGAGAACGGCCACCCCTGGGTGATTTTGCAGGAGCTGCAAGGTGGTGGCCTTACCACTGGGTACCTGTCCCCACCTGTCCCTTCCCCGGCAGGCAGCATGGTGCTCCGCAGCCTCCTGCCACCGCAGCTGATGTGCAGGCGAGATTGCACCCTTGGGTGAGCATCTCCACTGCCGAGATTGGGCCTCTTATCTGCAAAATCGGTGTCATCTTTATGCTTTAACATCGTCCCAGAGGAGAGCAGCTGGCAGAGGTGGCTGTGCAGTGACAAGTGTGTCACGCTCCCTGCCAGGGCCAGCCGGGGCTCTGCATCCCTCCGAGCCAGCCTTGAAATCTGCAGGGACCAAAATCTCTGTGTCCCATCACAAAAAACCTGCAGCGCGTAGCAAAAAGAAGCTGCTCGCCCTCAACGCCCCCGTGCACCCACACCTGGGGATGAGGGCAGCCCTCGAACCCCCCCCCCCGGGAGCAAAGGGGCTGCTGCAGCCGCCCGTTTTCCCTGCAGAGGAGGCAGGCGTCCCTCTCCCCGGCGCGGCAGAGAGCCAGGAGCAAGCACCCGGGTCCGTGGCTGCCCTTGTAGGGTAATCTCTGTGTGGAGCTACCTTGGCTGGGCGCTGGCGCCGGAGGAGGAATGTGTCCCCACGGGCCAAGTTGTTGGCTTGAGCTGTGGGATGCTCTGAAGGAGAGCGGCACCACACCTTTCAATGCCGGAATCTCTCCAGATGGGATTTTACAGCTCTGCTGCCTTGCTTTTTGTTTTATTTTTCCTCTCTCCTTTTTTTTCCTGTGTGTGCACGTGCCATGCTTTAGAAATGGAAGAGCAGAGGGAAGCTCTAGGTGCTGCTGCCCCGGTAGTGCAAAGGAATAGCAGGAGGATTTGCCTTTTGGTTTTCTCCTGGGGTCTGGGGAGCTCAGGGCTGAAGCTTGGGGTGCCCTGGTGCAGTGGGAGAGATGTGCAGTTTTCAGAGCTACACGGGCTGCAGCGTTTCCCTCAGCGGAGGGAGTGATCTCGGCTGGTAGCTGCATCCCTCCAGCATCACCTTTTACGGGAGCCCGTTAAGAGGGAAGTCAAAAGCAATAAGGAAAACACCCTGAAAGGCCTCGGCTGTTCTGGTGGGGAGCAGATCTTGTAGGAGATGAGCTCGCATTGTTCGGTTGCAGGTTTGCGAGTGTTGAAGGACTGTGACAGCCCTGAGAAACTTGGCGGTGTGAGGCAGGATCCAGATGGGATCGGGTGGATTCCGACCGCCCCATCAATCCTGCAAATAGGTCGGTGGATTCCCCCTGCTCCTGTCACCGGTGTGCGGAGAGGAGAGCCAGACACATTTAGGCATTTAGGGACCTGCAAATGAAAGCAGATTATCAAAGCAAAGTGGGTGCTGGACCCTCGGCTGCTTGCAGTTCTCCTGGAAACACCCGACTCGCTCTGTGCTGGGGGGGGGGTTACTCAGAGGCCTGAGAGTAACGTTTTGAAGAGTACCCGCTGTGGTTAAACGCTCGCTGTCGGCGCTGCAGCCATGTCCCCTTCCTGTCCCTGCCTGCCGTACGGCGCGGCCGTCCCCCTGTTTGCACAACCACAGGGTGAAGCATTTAGAGGAAGCGCTGTGGCTGGCAAGTAACGGCCGGTGTGTCACCCGGTGGGGACTGTTCAGCTGCTGGAGCTGCTGAAGAGACACCCCTGCAACTCAGAGGAGATGAATTTTGATCGCTGCAATGAGATTTAATGCAGCGCCATCGCCAGCATCCCTGCTTCGCTCTGAAGCCCGCAGTGCGGAGGTCATCCAGAGGGGTGCTGCTATGACAGCAATCAACTTTATCTCAGGACACGAGGGCTGAGCTCTCCAGCCAGTGCTGGAAAGAAATTTTGGCAGAAGTTGTGAAAAAGTTTTTTTTCTTTCTCTCTTTCTCTCCTGTTATTTATTAATTTCCCTGGAAGCTTGTCGGCACCAGGGTTGGCAGCGTGGGAGCTGAGCTTTACTGGTAACCCCAGGCAGGACCCCTATTTATCAAGAGCACAGTAACAGCGGTCGTCTGCGAGATGTGTTTGGTGATGTGTGCAGCGATGAAAGATAGAGAAATAGGGTCGAAAGATTCATGATAAGTGATTTTTCCAACTCTTGTCAGAAAGTGCTGCCTTGTGGGTGTGGGGGTTTTTTTAAGAAAAAAAAAAAACCCTGTTCTGGGCAGACCAAGCTGCCAGCAGGGTCTCTCCCACCCCCGGGCTGAAGAGTAGCTGCTGCCTCGGGGGGTCAGAGATGCTGCTGTCGACTGCTTGAAAATTGGGGATCTAGTTGGTGTGAGTCAAGCTCTGGCAGGGATTTCAAGGCTGCTCACACTGAGTTCAAGCCGAGCACTGTAGCTTTCCTTCAGGCCATGTGTTGCCTGTTACCTTCCACGTCCAACTCCGTCCATCAGTAGGGTGGGGAGTAGGGAGGAGGGCAGCCCTGGGGCTGGGACAGCGACTGCAATGGGTAGATTGGTCCTTGCTAGTTGTTCTGGAGGTATATATGGATGTAAATATATATAGTGTGTGCGTAAGTGGTGTCAGCTCATGGAGCAATATCCATCCGTCTGGCTGTGGCAGGGACGGGGCTTTGGGATGGGCGGTGGGATGCAGCGAGCTTCCTCCTCTCTGCACCACTGCCTTTCCCTGGGTGCTCCCTGATGCTCTCGTTAGGAGCGATAACGATGGATCCCTGCCTGCTCGCCTTCCCGCTGTTCCCGCCTGCATGGCTCCGACTCATCCCTTTTCATAGCTCCTGCAGGCTGAGCGTGCTGAGCCCTTCCTCACCTGGGGACCGGCATCCTCCTCCTCGTGCAGCCTGAGCTGCCGTGGCTGCAGTCAGGCCAGCTCTGCACAGACAGGATCCCAGGTCCCTTCTGGGATCAACCCAGGAGCAACCTCTCTTGATAACAAAAACAGGGAGCTGGTTTGCTTTTGAACCCTCACCAATACTTTTTCTTCTCTTTTTTCCCTTTGTTTCAGGAGAAGAGGACAAGAAATGACTGACACGAAGGAAACGCTCCTAACTAAAGGATCCCTAACTTGTAACTCGGACTGAAGTCTTGCATGCATGACCATCGCTAGAAGCCAGCAGGACATGCATGTGTCCGACTATCAGACAAATGCGGGTGAATCGTCGAAAAGAAAAATACTGATTTTGTTTTGTTTCGTAGCTTTCTTTTTCCTGTACATAAGAGTGCAATTACTGGACAGCTGGCGTAGGGTTTGGGGACGGAGCTGTGTGGACCTGGGTCATCGTAACACGATTCCTTGAGGATTTGTTCCTGCAAAATTTGAGACCCTCTTTCCAATTTTCACCCGGATGGGTTGAGCTCAGGCAAGGCATCCTTCACAGGAGGTCAAGGGGGGGGAGTCGGGATTTTAGGCAATACGCTGAGCGCGGGTGGGAGGCTGCGTCCCCCAGCCGGGCAGGATGCACGAGGGCAGCTCGTGGGGCTGGGAAGGGCTTGGCGGTGGGCGAGGGCAGGGGAGGGAGGTGAGGGCGCCGTGGGTTGGGGTCACTGACCCTCGATGATGTTAGCCGCTGCCTACAGGCTGCAGCAGCTGAAAATAGCTTCAAGGTGTGACCACTGGTGGTGTGGATCTCGCGGACGTGTGTTAATACGTTGAGGCCGGGTGCGTGTGGTGGAAGGTGAAGTTCTCCCTATTTATCACACTGGGCAGGGGAGGGAGGTGAGGGCGCCGTGGGTTGGGGTCACTGACCCTCGATGATGTCCGATGTTGTCGGTGGCTGCATCGCTGCAGCCGCTGCGCTCTGCTCCGGTAGCCGCTGTGCCTACAGGCTGCAGCAGCTGAAAATAGCTTCAAGGTGTGACCACTGGTGGTGTGGATCTCGCGGACGTGTGTTAATACGTTGAGGCCGGGTGCGTGTGGTGGAAGGTGAAGTTCTCCCTATTTATCACACTGTCCTGTTTGATCCCTGTGTTGTGGAAAGCCCTGCACCTTCTCAGGCTCATCCGACACCAAAGTGCGATGTAGTCTTGTCTGTTCTCCTCCGTCCAACGTCTGTTAGATCCCATCTGCACTATTTAAGCCATAGCCATCTTCCTTGTAGGGGCAACCATTTAAAGCAAAGCATGGGGATGACCGACTTTGCATTCCTCATGTCTACCGCTCACTCCTGGTCACGCTTTCTGTACTCGGTTGATTTTTAACTATTTCCCTAGCAGGAGTAGAGCTTAAGTCCTTAGGAGCAAGTCCACAAGTTCGTGTCCTCTGCCTTGGAGGACATCGCTGTCTTGCACAGGGCATCCTTGACACCAGTGATCTGCCTTCGAGACGGGAATGAATGTATGCTTGTACATAACGTAGTCCTTCTCCGTGAGCGGTGTTTGTCATGGCATCCCTTTTTATAAGGCATCAATTTTATTTTATCCTCCTGGGATTTTTCTGCAGCAGGAGTGACACAGGCTGCAGCAAGTTTGTGGATCAGGAGTAGATTTTGGGATCCAGTAAACTGATCTTTCTCCATTGAGCTGCGTCAGCTGAGGAGCTGATAGCAGGTGATTTCTTCTCCAGCTCTCCAAATCCTCCCTCCTGTTTTCCTCACGTTCCCCTGTGATCCGTCCTGATGATATTTAGTTAGCCAGACCCTATATCTTTCCTTCTCTTAAATTGCAGCAACAGCTCTAGAGCCCGGGTTTTGGATAGCATTTTGCTCCTTTGCTGTTGGGTTTTTTCTTTTACCTTTTGCCTTTTAAAAGCTTCCAGTGCTTTTCTGTTTCTCTTTCACCTGGGCAAGAGCTACTCTTCCTCTGTACAGTAGGTGCCAAATATCATCCTTCCTTTCTTTTCTCCATCACCAGCATTGAAGATGAGCAGAGCCCCCAGACCAATGGGAATGTACAGAATTGTTATACTACTGAGCTGATTTAATTGTACAGAAAACCTTGCATGAAATGTTGTTACTGTATTTAATATATAATGTATTCAAGGAATTTTAATATGAAGCTCTTTAAAAAGATCTTTATAGATACTCTGTGGTTAGAAGATTGTTGCTGATTTTTTTTTTAATATTATTATACTTTGTCTTGAAGAAGTTTTATTTTTCAAATGTGTTATGTCTAATTGATTTAATTGGTGATCCCATGGGGCAACCAATTCCTCTTTAAAGATTTTCACTGTGGATGAGACTCACCCTGGCGCAGAGGACCAGGGCATGACCCAGGTACTGCTTAAGCCTTCCAAATAGGGCTTCAGTAAGACTAACACTGTAGATGTGTGATTTGCCCTTCCCCGAAGGGGTGGATTTCACCTTGTTTTAGCACAGATCACCTCCAGCTCTCTGTGCAGGGCAAGAACCAGCAGGAATTTAATCCAGTACCAGCTCGGTGACTTCAGAGGAAACGGCTTCTGTGTTTCCCTGAGGCTGAAAACCAGTTTGGGAGAGGCTGGACCTGATTCAGAGCATCCCAGCCCCGTTCGTAGGGTCCAGCGGGGCTTTCAGCTGCCTGATGGCATCTCCTTGGGACACGGTGGCCTTGGTCCATCACGCCTGTGGGGATCTGCTTGGTCCATCCACTCCGTATTGCACCACCTGAATTAAGCTGGTTTCCCTGGGCTTAAGGTCTGGTGTAGGATTATTAATTTTATCCAAATATGTATGTGTGTGGAGGAGTTTCTTGTGTAAAGGTCCCACTAATGAGTACTGAATAATGGATGGGAGTCTGTAATATAAGGAGACCTAAAAGAAGGGGGGAAAAAAAAAGAGCTCTGTTTTAGAGCATGAAATTTTAACTCGCTATTAAATTCCTGCTGGTAATTTTTGCTTAGTCTCACCTGAGCAGAGAGCTGGGGGTGGTTGTACCAGGCATCCTTCTGAACCCACTAACAGAAAGGCTATTTGAAGAGATGCTGAGTTTGTTATTTTCTTGTTGGTAGAGATGCCGAGTTTCTGTTATTTTATCGTTGATGGAGATGCCGCGCTGCTGCAAGCCTGGGCAATGTCAGTCTGTTTGTCCAGTCACTGGCTTGCAATTCTGAGTTACCAAAATCCAAGCCATCACAGGCAAGAAGCCAGAGCCGTCTCCCAGCCAAAGGCTTGTTCTTTCCAGCAGCAGAAAATTGCATTTGCTTTTTAATTGTAAGCCTCTAGATCTACCTAGAAAATAGTGCAGGAAACCTGCACTAAGGCTACCTGGAGCAGGCATCCCACTTGCTAGGAGGGACCATTTTGACACATCCTCATTTCCCCTTCTGAACGGTTGACCACGTCTCTCTCTTTCCCCCCATCCTTTAATCACTTGGAATACAGGTTTCACTCCGTGCTTTTTGATTACAGAGGCTTATAGTTCAAATATTTTAATGAAGTAGAAGAATATCCGTAGATCTAATTGTTTTTCCTTTATGCTTTGGTGAAGGGTCAGGATAAATCATGGAGTAGTTATTTATTGCCTGTATGCTACCAGCAGCGTGGTGGGCGCTTGTACAGGCTGGAGCATGTTCTTGTGCAAACTTGGAGATCCCAGAGCCGAGACCATCGCTTTGGGATCGAGTCTTGTGTCTTACCGAGGCATCCGACTGTGTGCAATACAAGGGAGATGGATACTGGGTGGCTGTTTTGCCCAAGAGCTTGTTAAAAAAGGCAGCTTAGGGGCAAAGCCTCCGGGATCCTTGGTTTTTTGACAACAGAGTTTAGGAATTATTTCCTTTTCAGTTTTATTTTGATGGTGCTGCCTGGCATATTCAAAGTTTTTAAATAAAACTTAGGTCTTTCCAGCAAGACATTTAGCATCCGTGGGCTGCTGTGACAGATCCTCCCCCGTGCAGGGAAGCAGCGATGTGAGATGCATGGCGGAGGACACGCTGGGATGGCAGCGCGGGGTTGTCCACGAGCACTTTATACTCCTTTCTCAGAGGGCAGGCACGGGGCTGGGTTACAGCCAAGGCGGGAGGCGAGGGTCCCGTGTCCCTGGAGCGAGCACCTGGGGTGGGGGGGGTCCGCTTTGGGCAGCAGCTGTGACAAGTCTTTTGTGCTGTTTTGGGACGTCATGTCATTGTGGCCAGTTGCTGGATGAGCTCTTCCCCCTGCGGTGCATGGTCCCATTGGGAGGCACGTTGGAAAAGGAAAAAGAGGGATGCTCTTCAGAGCAAAGTAGTACTGCGTCCTATGTTTTATTTCTGTCCTGTGGCCACTGTACGGCTCAGGGTCTGAATGAGGTTTTTGATTTATGTGTGTGAGACTTTGGCACTGTGAAGATGTCGTACGTGTGTTTCTGATGCTCTGCTCAGCCAAGGCTGGATGGTACCGCCAGGCGCTGGAGAAGTCAGGAGTAGGAGGGACAGGCTTTACTGGAGGGGCTGGGGGACTTCATTCCTGTAAGAGCATCAAATCTGGGATTGAACCGGAGTCTCTGCTCACAGTGTGGATGGCAGAAGTAGCCAGAGGAGCAATAGGAAAACTCAGCAGCAATTTTTGGTTCCTCTTTTGTACGTCAGGTTGATAGTGCTGCTTCCCAGTCAGGGTCCTGCTCTGCCAAAACTCATCAAATAATTGCTGTGCAGGGGCTCAGGCTAACGCTGTCCCGGTTGGTGGGAGATGTTCATGAGGTTCAGCGACCTTGGCATCATACCACTCCTGGAACTCAAACACACAGGAGTCCCCAATACTGACTCCTAAGACTTACTGTGATTTTTGGTCCATACCTGGCATGGCCATCACCTTGTATAAATGATGCCAGAGATTCAGTCATCCCTGTTCAGTCCCACCTGGGCCTCTTTTTCCGCACTTCTGCAGTGGCAGTTTCTGGCAGGGTTTGTCCCCGGCAGGGAGACAGCCCCGGGGGTCAGGTTTTTGGGACGAAGGAGAAGGGCTTCACCTCGTGCAGAGCTTGCATGGCACAGTTTGGGTTAGGGTTTGCAGGGCTGCAGGGAGGAAGGGGACACACAGGATAAATTGTGCTCCCTGGACCTGTCCTCTTGGTGCCGTTCAGCTTTTGGTATGAGTGGGGCATTAAATGAGCCTAAATCTGTGTGCACCTGGAGCGATGGACGTGGGTACCGCCAGCTGGTGTCTGAGATGGGGACGCTGCTGGGTCGATCCGGGTGTTTGGG